AAAAAAAAAAAAAAAAAAAAAAAAAAAAAAAAAAAAAAAAAAAAAAAAAAAAAAAAAAAAAAAAAAAAAAAAAAAAAAAAAAAAAAAAAACTTTTGTCTTTTATGTATGCAGAGAGTGTTGCAGCGACGCCCTTTGTCTCTGCCTGTCTCTCACACAGGGTGTCGCTGCATTACTCTCCGATTGTGCAAAATGAGAATGAATCCTCCTTGGGAACCTGGAAAGATACATCGCCATGTTTTTTGTCTTTTGTGCATGCGGAGAATAGTGCAGCGACGCCCACAGACGGACACACAGACACACACACACACACACACAAAGAGACAGAGGCGGACAGACAGATGGGCGAAGTTTGCCCATGTGTCTGTGTGTATACGTGTGTGTCAGAGAGAGAGAGGGGGAAAGAGTGTGTGTGTGTGTGTGTGTGTGCATGTGCGTGGGTGTCAGAGAGAGAGTGCGGCCAAGAGTGTGTGTGGGTGTGCGTGTGGGTGTGTGGCAGACGGAGAGTGCGGTCAAGACTCTGTCATCGCCAGTGGCAATAGCCGAGACAAAATGGTGCGCCGTATAGCTATGCTGGACATGTCTTGAAACAAAAAAAAAAAGGAAAAAAAAAACGAAAAAAAAAACGAGGAAGTTTTGTTGTGTCTTTCTCTCCCTCGCTTGGTCCTGTTGTTCCGTCTCTCTGTCTCTCTCTTTGTCTCTCTTTGTCTCTCCTTGTCTCTCTTTGTCTCTCTCTCTCTCTCTCTCTCTCTCTCTCTCTCTCTCTTTCTCTCTCTCTCTTTCTCTCTCTCTCTGTCTGCCTGTCTCTCTTCGTCTGTGTGTGTCGGCCTCTGTCTCTCTCTCTGTCTCTCTCTCTCTCTCTGTCTCTCTCTCCCAGCCGCGTACTGACCTGCCACGTACTGACCTGCCACGTACTGACCTGCCACGTACTGACCTGCCACGTACTGACCTGCCACGTACTGACCTACGCAAAGTTGGCGTCTTGATTGAGGTAAGTGAGAAGATGAGAAAGAAAATGAGAAATGAGAATGAGATGTGCTCTCTCTCTCTCTCTCTCTCTCTCTCTCTCTCTCTC